CATGGAAGCGACGGGAGCTGGCTGAGCTCGGTCGTCCCCATCCTTCACATCCCCTTCTCCAGGGGATTGTGGGCACCAGTGTGGCGCAGCGTGAATCCCGTTCCTGCTTGCTGCAACGGAGCCTGGTTCAGTTACACAGGAATGGAATGGAAGGCAGCGGCTGCTTAGTGGTGGCCCTGCATGGGGCGCTCTTCCAGCTGGTGTCCCTGAGCATCCTGGGGCATGGGGCTGGAGCATTCTGGGTGGGATGCCCTGGGGTGAGAATCGAGCCTACAAATTGACTCTGGTTGTGAGCTCCGTTGTACAGAGTTCATGAATAACCTGTAATAATATGGAGCTGGAAAGTAGGTCAAGTTGTTTTCAATAATGGATGTTATAAACAGGTGCAGGAGAACCAGACAGAGATAAATTAGTCCAAACAAAAAAGGCCACGCTGCTGTGATTCAAGGACTATGCTGAAATCTGGCTTGGGAAAGACAGAGGATGTGGGACCGGAAATTAGTGAATCAAAATTTGTGTGTGGGATATTAGGGCTAATTGGTGGACAAAAGAACGAGGGGATGGGCTATTCCACCCGCCACTCCTTTTGTGGGTCCTTAAACAAAGAGACTTCGGGGGGCAATACAGGAAGAACAGACACAGACTATTGGAGTGAGCTTCACTGCCAACCCCACTGTCTCCTGGGCCCCGGACCTTCATCGTCCTGATCCCGAGATGTCCTGACCAGACCAGGCCAGAGGGAGGGGCTCAAACAACACTGCTGCTCCTACCAGCTTCAGCTGAATCCAAACCACCACTTGGGATGAAACAGGATCAGACTGTAACAACAGCAGCAGCTCCAATCCATCTCAACAAACTTCTCCCCTTTTCCCCAGAAGGACAGCGATTACCATCCTGCATAGGCGCCGACTCCGTGGGTGCTCCAGGACTAAAGCACCCATGGCAAAAAAAATAGTGGGTGCTCAGCACTCACCCACTGATCAGCTGTTCGGTGGTAGGTGGGAGGCTGAGGGAGCGGGCGGAGTGGGGGTGGGAAGAGGTGGAGCGAGGGTGGGGCACGCTCGGGGGAAGGGGTGGAGCTGAGGTGGGAAGATGCGGGGTGGGGGGTTGATCTTGGGGGAGGGGACAAGGCAGGGGCGGGGCCTCAGGGTGGAGTGGGAGTGGAGCACCCACCCAAAAAGAAGAAAGTCGGCGTCTGTGCCATCCTAGCTCCCATCTAAGAGACTGTCAAACAAGGGGGGTTTCCTTCTGAAACGCTCACCAGCTAAGGGAGAGGGAAGAAGGAGTGCTGTTGAAATGCAAGCCTGACTTAATACTTGACATTCCAAAGGCTTTCACTGTCTTCCCTTCTTTTCTTTATCTTCAATACAAAGTTCAAAGGATGGTTAATGGTGCATTTGCCATGGTGCCAAGGAAGCTGAGGTCTCTATACCAAACCCCGCACGTTGTAGAACACTGTTTAATGTTGGACAGCGACTGGGTTATGTTAACACCATTAGCTCCTATGTTCATCTAAATTCCTGCAGTAGCCTCCCGCTGGTGTTTCTAAGGTACCCTATTGCCAGCCGCGGGCAGGGCTCAGCCCTTCCTCAGTGTTGGTCTCCCCCTGGAGTTTGGTAGCTAGTGCTGGTCTGGGTGAGGCTGCTGGCAGGAGCACTGCTGGTTGTGTTGTAGACAGAGCTGCTGGCTATCTGTCCAGCGGGGCAGTGAGAAGATTTTGGAAGGAACTCCAATCTGTGGTCAATTTCTTTCAATTCCTTTTGCAGATAGAGAACCAAGAGCTGGCGCTCAGTGAGGCTTAACTCAGCCAACTGACAGACCTTTCTCTTCTTCTTTTCTCCCAGAAGCTGACAGGGCAGGTACTGCCCCTAATTCCAGTGACTTTGTCAATTGCACCCTTGTTGGGGTGATTTGGTGATTTGGATCTTCCTCTGTTTTGTTGCAATAACCTGCACTCCTAGTTTTTTTTTAATCATACAGCTGACGCGGTCTAACTATTCCCAGGTTCCAGCCGATGAGCCCAGGAAGCTGGGGCCAGTTAAATTAATTGTATCCAGGGGGCCCCAGTGCTAAAATTCTGACGAATTACTACCCCCTTCCCTCCCCCGGAGTGCTACTAGCTGCAGTTACTTTGATGCAGAGGCTGTAAATACAGAAGCAGTTGCCTTAGGACCAGCTCTAGGAATTTTGTACAGGACCAGTGAGAGAGATTTATTTATCATGTCTTCAGATGAAGTTGCAATCTGCTCTCCTTGCCTGGGTGTTACAATTGGGAGCCACAATTAAGGACCTGCGAATCTCCCTGGCAGGAAGTGTCAGGGAATTTGACTTTCCGGTTGTTGCAGTGGTGGGGTGCAAGGTGAAAAGTGCCACTGTTAGGAAGGGATCGTGTCCCCCTTCCTGCTGCTATTCCTTTCAGGGCAGCCACACCTCCAAAACTTGCACTGCTCAGGATATTGTAACTGAGTTAGCATGGGCAAGGGGTTCTAATAGGGAGCTGGGGGGTCAGAGCTCTTGGGTTCTGTCTCCAGATCTGTCAGTGACTCAATGTCTGTGACTATGAGCCAGTCACACTAATTGCTCTGTGCCTCAGTGTACCCCTCTGTAAAACTGGGGTGATTATATTTGCTGGGGTGCTGTAAAGCACTCTGACATCTGTATATAATAGGCATCAGGGAAGTGCAAGAATGTACTGGTATTTATTTATTTTGATGTCCTTGCTCGTGAAGCCCTGCTGTCACACTTACCTTGGAGACATGCACCCCAGGTGTGTTTTTAGTTATTGTTCGGTTTCTGATCACTTACATCAGGTTAATTCACACCTAGCACCATTTTCCGCTTGTACTTGCTGCACACACAGCAGCCCTCTTGCACACACGTGTACACACAGCAGCCCTCGTGTACACACATACACAGACTCGTGCACACACAGCAACCCTCGTGCACACACATACACACACAGAAACCCTTGTGCACACTCATGCACACACTGCAACCCTCATGAACACACACACACACACACACACACACACACTTATGGGGACACAGCAACCCTTGTGCACTCATACACACGTTCCCCAAACTCACTAACTCTCTTTCCCCCCCTCTCCAACCCAGCTCTCTGGAGGGGTGTTTGAAAGCTGACAGCTGCTTGCCAGCGAGCATCCCGTCCAGCAGGTGCCCAGGGAGTTGCAAGCCGCTGGTCCTCATGTAGCTTTGCTATGTGGTAGGGGGCCTGAGCCTGCTCTGTGTCTGCCTGGCTGGTGGGTTTCTCCTGGTTGGATCCTGTGTGCATTTTGCATTGCTGTCCCAGAGCCGCGGTGCTGCTGCTCTCCAATATCCGATCTCTCCTCTGCTCTCCACTGAGTCATCTGATCTCACTGCCCTTGTTTGCTTTGAGGGGAGATGGGAGTGCTCCTAATAACTGCAAGCAGGCTGTGTGGGTTCAGCAAGCAGCCACCCTATTGTCAGCGCTGATCGCTCGCTCCTTGCAGAGATGCAGAGATTTTAAGGCCAGAAGGGAACTTTAGATCATCTAGTCCGACCTCCTGTACAGCCAGCACAGGCTCTTAAATTCCCCCCACTTAGCCCTGTGCTGAGGCCAAGAGCTTGTGTTCGACTAATGCAGCTTCCAGAAAAGCCTCCAGCCCTGATCTGAAGACAGCAAGAGATGGAGAATCCACCACTTCCCTTGGGAGTTTGTTCCAATGGTTAATCACCCGCCCTGGTAAAAACTTACTCTTAATTTCCAGTTTGAATTTGTCGGACTTCAGCTTCCAGCTATTGGTGGTTCTGCCTTTTTCTGCTAGATTAAAGAGCCCGTTAGTAGGTGTGTTTTCTCCCCAGGAAGGTCCTTAGACCCGGTAAACAAGCCACCTCTCAGCTTCTCTTTGAGAAGCTAAACAGATTGCTCTGTAAGGCTCTCGCCTCAGCCCTTGAATCATTTTCCTGCCTTTCTTTTGCCCCCTCTCCAATTATTCAACATCCCTTTGAAAATGTGGAACCCAGAGTTGGGTGTGGTGTCCAGTATCGGTCTCCCCAATGCTGTATCCGGCGGTGAAATTGCCCCCTCCTCCTACTCAGTGCTCCCCTGTCTGTACAGCCAGTATTTACCCATCAGGGCCTGTGGCTGCTTTGAGGGCTGCTGGGGCTGAGGGCTGGGAAGAGGGACCGGGCTAGCTGAGGGCCTCTCCAGGCCGGAAAGACAAGGGTAACTCTCCTCAGAGTAACTCTGCCAGTCTGCCTGGGAGGGGAAAAGCCAAAGAGCCTCAAGAGCTGGGTTGGAGGGGGGGGAAGGACAGTCAGTGCAGCAATGCGGGGCCGATGAGGCCATGTCAGATCTGAGCTACTTTTAGGGCTCCCATCGCTGTGGTATCCAGGAGGTGTATTGATCCTCACAATTCACTGCGAGGCAGGGCCGGGCGACTGTCCCCATCATACAGATGGGAACGGAGGCCCAGAGAAGTCAGGGACTTGCTGTTGATAATACCCAGTGCCAGCAGCTTCCCTGCCTCACCCCCATCCTGGAGCTGTCCTCTCCAGCCTGGTTCCATCTCCTTCCCCCACTCGTCCAGCCCCCACCCCCATTCCCTCCCCACCCCCTGCTCCCACATTCTGCCCCATTACCCTGACTTTGTGCTCCCCCCCATGCCCACGGGGAAGCAGATGTCTTGCTCCCCTCCCCGCTCTGGTCTGGCAGGGCTGCAGTCAGTGTGCTAAGGTCCTGGGGAGAGCTGTGGCCCATGCCCCACTGTAGTGACCCCTGTGGCTGTCCAGGGCTGTGGAGCTGGGGTCCCACCCAGCTCTCCTCCCTGCACCCTGAGCTGTGGAGAAGCAGGGGTAGAGACGGGGGTGGAGGGGAAGATCTCCATCAGGAGGAATTGCTGACAGCCCCCGCTGAGGGCAGTGGGGTGTGGTGGGGGCAGGGGTGCTGCTGGGAGGAGTTGGGTGATTTTCAGCTGCCGTCCCATGTTTCCATAACCCCGTTTGTCTCTTTGCAGCCCCAGCCCAGTCTCGACGAGAGCTGTGGCTCTGGCAGCGCCCAGCCAGCCGCCCAGCCTCCCAGCAGACAGAGCTTCGTGCAGAACCACTTCCAAGCACAGTACAGGTAAGAGGGGTGGGGGACACGTCTGCCCCGGACAAACCTTCCTGTCCCATCCCTGCACTGCATCGGCCCCACCCCTGGTGTCAGGCTGAGCTAGGAGTGGGGCGGGAGGAGCTGGGAGGTGACGGGCTGGGATCCAGACACTTCCATGCTCCCTGCTGCATGGAAAAGGGATGTGGCACCTGTCCTTGCAGGACCCAGGCCATGTCAGCTGCCTTCCAGCTGCATGGCACCTCCAGCGACATCATGCTGGGCATCAAAGATAAGTACCCAGGGGGTGAGGGTGAAGCTCCTTGGGAGTCGAACAGAAATAGTTTATGTCTTTAGCTCTCTAGGAATAAAACCTGCAGCTGTAGGGAGAGGCCGGCCTGGCTGCCGCGTGGAGTGACTCTCCTGCTCGCCTCTCTGCTGGTGCAACGTGGGAGTAACCGCAGAGAGATACACAGGGGGAAAGGAGTGCACCCACGCCCCACTGCCAGCTGTGCCACCTGGTGCTTCCTTTTCCTGCAGTACCCGTACAGCACGCTTTCCCAGGCAGCAGTGGGGACATACACAGACACACGCATGCACACGCTGTCCCGTCTGACTATGAGGACCCCCCATTTTTAAAGGCTAGTCAGAAAAGTGGCTACAGAATGCCCCCTCCTGCTTCCCTCTCTGTGCCCCCCATGGGGCTTCCCATCACCCCGACTCACTTTAGTGAGCACAGAGTAGCTTTTCGCAGAGCCCAGCCCGCTGCGGGAGAGCAAGCTGCAGTTACACACCAGCAGCTGAGACAGTGGCTGAGTCCCAGCCGCAGAGCCTCGCTTTGCAGTGCCGTGGCAGAGGCAGAAGGTGGCAAGCTGGATTTCCAGGTCCTGGGGCTGATCAGTTAGGAAACCCGTTCCAGCTGGTGAACGGAGATAATGGAGAGAGAGAATCCTCAAGGGGTGGGGGAAGTGGGGGTGGAGAGAGTTCCATGACGGTGGTGGCTCTTTAAACCATGCCTCGTGTTTCCCATCTCTGCTGGGAGTGCACCAGGACTACTGAGCTGGGAGAGCCCATGAGGAGGTTGTGAGGCTAACACTTCCTGGTACTGCAAGTGATAACACCGACCAGTACCTCCCTGGTACCTTCCGTCCAGCCATCCCAAAGTGCATTACAGATTGCACAAACCATGGAGACAGGAGTTGCTTCGCCTGGCAGTGAAATGCAGCCATCTCTGGGGCGGAGCGTGGCAGCTGTTCAACAGCCCATGGCAGCACTTTGTGACAGTTTAGGACAGATTTTTAAGAAGATTATTGTATCCAACTGAAAGCGCAGGGGGAATTTTTGGTGGGCAAAGTGTAACGACCCAGCCTGAAATCTGACCCTCACACCGCTCCTAATCTTATTTAATGTCCGCACATGGGCAGGACCTGGGCTTTATATCGCATTTGAAAGGCAGAAGCAACACAGCACCCCTTAGCGCCATGCTGGTGCCCAGGGTTCGGTACCAAGTGAGAGGGCAGCGCGCTCTCTACTGAATCACCAGCATTTGCCAGAACCTGAGCTTGAGCGGCTGGGTCTGAGTTCCTCTGAAGCAGTCTTATTTAGCTAGACAGCTTCACCCAGAACTGTCACAATCTGGGGCAATGTTTTGCCCTCCCTCCCACCTGGGTGACACCCCTGCTGTTCATTAGATAGCCTGGGCATGGACTGTTTGTGATGGACAACGGGAAGCACAGTCTGGACAGTTGAAGATTAGTAGAAGGAGGCAACAAGCTTTCCTCCAGACATCCAGGAATGTAACATGCCAGGAGCCGAGGTTCTGGTTGCCGATCCAAGGCATATGGAATGAAATCTGAAACTGTTACAGCTTCCAGTCCAAGGCCTGTAATGCCCAGGTGTCTCAGCACGTCCTGGCCAGGACAGGAAGAGAAAGTCCTGAAGAACCTCAAGAACGGCCTGAATGTTAACAGCTGGTGCAACGCCAGGAAGCACGGATGTCCCCATTAAATGGCAGTTGCAGTGTCTGTTGACTTTAGAGGATTTCTGCTACAAACTCAATCGACACAACACTATTCAAAGTGCAGAGCCGTACTGCGGCCCGGTGAGCACAGAGACTAGCCTGCAGTAAGTGCTGGTAGTGGTAAAAAATAAAAACGGTCAGCTTGGAATCCTCTGCACTAAATAAATTCCCCGAGGGACTTCGGAAGGTGGATGAATCCATCTGCTGTTGTGTCACCATGAAGCAAGGCTATCACAAAGGCATCCACTCCCCCCCAGTCTGCTAGCACAGCATTATGCATGTCGGAGAGTTGGTGGCATTGAAGCTATTCCAGGAGTGAGGCTTAATAAGCAGCAACTTCACTGAGATATTTATGTGCTTTCCACCATCACTGTGTGAATGTAAATTATCAGACGGGCTGATCTGGAAATAAAATTAAAGACCCATTTAGGAATCAGATGGCAAAGATCTTCATAACAAGGAGCGATAGATGTGTCACAAGTGGAAATGTTGCACTGGAATAAAATTCTGGGGAGGTTTATGAGCTCTTTGGCCTGGGCTCTGCTTGGATGGGAGCCCTTCAAGAAAAACCCAGGTGGTGCCAGATGTAGTATTGGTCATTCTGTAGGTGGCGCTCTCCTGTAAGACCACATTGGACAAATAACCCCATACTTGAGGTGATGAAATATGTTGTGGCTTTTTTGTGGTAGGAGATGGGATATTAACTTTGGGGCTCCGGGCATATTCCATCTGGCCACCTAAAATTCCTATTGTCTGTCAATTGGATATAGTTTTCTTCTTCACTTCCTTTTTTGAATGTTGGACAGCTGCCATGTCCCACCCCAGAGGTGGCTGCCCATCAGTGGTGAGTGCAGTGCTTTTGTTAAGTCTGAAGGAAGGGAAGGGTTGTGGCATTGTTCTGAGAGAACAGAGATGAATGTAGTGATTCTGCTCTAGCCAACTCCATAGGAGAATAACAGCAAAAAGCTTTGGGGTTAGCACAGTTGACTCTGTGAGCAGATAGATCAGGTAACACCTGCACAGTCAGGATACAGTTGACGGGCATTAGCATACTGGCTGCAGTATTAAGACTCAGGGAGTGCCAGCTGGGTGTCAGGTGATTAAGTGGTTGTGGTGGTAAAGTTATTCCTCTGCAATGTCACATCACAGTCTGCTCACAGGTGCATGGTAGCCTGGGCTCTGGATGTGGGGGAGGGGGAGACAGAGGGAGAGAGAGTAAAGAAACAAACTGGTTTATAAAACGTCAGCGTTGCCGAATCGTGTGCACGGAGTTTTGCTCAGATGAACTCCTTTGTGAGTGCCAGAAGTTCCAGCGCGTATTGCCAGTACCCGGCACCAGGCCAGGAAAATCCGGCACCCTCTGCAAAGGGATTAAAGACAAAGGAACCATTCAGCCAGGATGAGTTCCCGTGTATTCTTGTGGGTATAACTCAGTGACTTGACTTAGTTAATTACCTAGTGCGTGTTCTATCATCCACACCGAGTCCCGTTAGTCTGTGAGCTCTGAGAGGCAGAGACCGGGTTGTCCTCGTGGTTTTTACAGCACCAAGTACCTTGGCAGTGCTCAATAAATAATACACCATAGTTAATAAATAATCAGAGACAGTAGGTGCAAAGTATGATTGCTCTGTTATTCTGGGCACTGGGGGAGTGGCGTTTGCAGCTCAGTAGGAGGTGCTTTTCTCCCGGAGATAGACCTGGCCCAATGTGGTTTACGAGGTCCCAGTGCAGCTGGAGATGGCAACTTTGAGATAAAGCATATGGCAGAGGTCCTGACCCCTCGTGCTCAGTAAAGATGCCCTGTCACTTTGACAAGAATGGGATGGAAGCCTCATCGTCCTAGCCAAGTTCCAGACAGGCTGGGTAGTTACATTCGCTTTTCCCCAAATTCCCGATCGCTTCCACTGGAAATAGGTTTCGGGCCAGATCCTCACAGGTGTTTAGGTGCCTAACTCCCATTGAAATTGATGAGAGGTCAGTGCTAAATATCTTGGAGAATCTGGGTCTTCCCCTTCTGAGCTGTGGTGCACGGTTTGCCATGGGCTGCTAAGCAGTGGCCTCTTTCCTCCCCAGAGATGCTTAGCATCATGATTTGTATTTCCATAACTTGTAGGAGCCCAGAACACAAAGGCTCCAAAGAGCTGAGAGTTTGGGCTGCATCTCAGTGGTGGGTGAAGAGTTTCCTGCACAGCTAGTTAGTGACGAATCTGGGAGACGCTGGGAACTTGTCTGCACACTGGTGTAGCAGACGGGGTGACGTTAAAGTGGGGCAGCTGCCCCAGCACACCTTGGCCTCAGTGATCTTTGGATGACAGGCATCAGGGCCAGGTGCTGGTGAGTGGAGATAGTATTTGTATCTGAATGGGTTGTCCAGACCCTAGCGTTGTGTTATGCGCTAAAGAAACAGCATTGCTGGCTGGTGATAGATTCTTGGAGATCTCTTTAAGCGCCGATTATTATCCCCGGCTGCTGTTATTGTTGTGTAATGATCCAATCACAGAAAACCGGTGTCATCGCTGGGGAGGTCGGAGCCCATGCGTTGTGATTTGGGGTCCGGCTGTAGCCTCCATATGCAGCTGAAGATCAAGTGGGGATCTGATGGCCAGTGGGGAAGGCACTGCCTCTGATTTCCAAGCACATGAGTGCTGCTGGGTGGGGCTGGCTTGGAGTCGAACTGACAGATGTCACCATTAACAAGTCCACATGGCCAGCATTTACGGCATGCTGGTACCTGTGATCACTTCGCTTCCTCTGTACTTCAACTAGGAAAGAGCAGGGGTGTCGTCTGAAGGGCTCGGAAAGGGCTTGGACAAGAATGTGATAGCTGACCTGTTTTGAGAGCCCAGCATAGACAGGGTCTGTGGCAGTTGTAACATGTTAGCCGATCTAGGTTTCCCCTTCGACCAGCCATTGCCTGTTAGCTTGCCCTGTCTACACGGGGACTTTCCAGCGACTTCGCAATCCCATTTTCACTAAAGACCGTTTTTCCTAGGCACAGCAAGCCCCACATGTC